ACCGTGACACATCTTCTCAGTCGACTCAAAGGTCTCTATCAACGTCAAACGTTCAACAAATAGTTAAAAACAAAAGCAAACCGAGGCCAGATTCTATGAAGAAACAAAGTGGCAGAGCGCCAAAAGGGTCAGATGATAAAATCAAATTATTTAACAAATACGGATCACTTGAGGACATGGACGTGTCCGAAAACGTCCATTCTAGGGCACATAGCTTGTCGCCCTCGAAAACGGTGCGGGGTAGATCCCCTATTAATCCACCTAAAAGATAGGTCTATCTAAACATATCGTGCAGTGGAACTGTAGAGGACTACGGGCAATTTTTAATGAAATACAGCTATTAATCCAGGATTTAACACCATCAGCGTTCTGTCTGCAAGAGACGTATCTGAAACGGACAGATAATTTTAACTTAGGTCAGTTTGAAGCCTATCATCATTTTTCCCCTCTGGGTGATAGGGCCACTGGAGGTTCTACTATCCTTATACGACAGGATGTTATTCACAGCCCTGTTACACTTAACACTAATCTCCAAGCTGTTGCAGTGCGACTTACTCTGGGTGTAGCATTTACATTATGCTCTCTGTATATTCCGCCTTCATCGGCACTTCAACAGACTGATCTTCAATCACTCTTTGATCAACTTCCGAAACCATGTGTTATTATGGGTGACCAAAACGGTCACAACCCACTCTGGGGCAGTACTAACACTAACAGTGAAGGCAAAATACTTGAAGATTTCATTTCCAATAATGACCTGTGCATATTTAATGATGACTCAAGCACCTATCTGCATCCTGCAACTGGCACTTATTCTTCTGTGGATTTGTCTCTTGCAGATTCTAACCTCCTGAATGAATTTGATTGGTCTGTTCATAATGACCTTTGTAGAAGTGACCACTTCCCAACTATCCTTTCAGAAATGACTCCAACTGATTCTCCATTGTATACAAGATGGAACTTTTCGAAGGCTAACTGGTCTTTATACGTAAATCGAAACTGCGACCTGAATGTTTCAGTGATATAACTGATCCCATTCAAACTTTTGCTGACGTTTTAAATGAAATAGTTGATGAGTGTATACCAAAGTCCTCTACAACTCCACATGTACGGTAACCATGGTTTAATACAGATTGTAGACAAGTCAGAAAAGCGAGGAAAAAGGCAGAGCGTTATTTCCACCATCATCCAACTGTCCATAACTGAAATACATTTAAAATACTAAATGCAAAGGCGCATCGTACCTTTAAACAAAACAAACGACAATCTTGGAGAAATTATGTCTCAAAAATTAATTCACGCACGCCAATGTCTAAGGTATGGAACATGGTTCAAAGAATTAAAGGCAAAGGTTGAAAATCTGCTGTTCACCATCTCAAAGAAGGTGATCATTTAATTAATGACAAGTCTAAAATTGCAAATAAAATTGGCGAAACTCTTGCCACACATTCTTCATCGGCAAATTATTTCCCTGAGTTTCAGATATACCAGAAACAACAGGAAAAGACAAAACTTAATTTCGAATCAAATAACGGTGAACATTATAACGAAGTGTTTTCATTACATGAGCTAAATACTGCTCTTGAGCAAGCTCATGACACTGCAGCGGGTATGATAATATACATTGCCAGTTACTGAAACACTTACCTGAACCATGTCTGATGACACTTTTAGATATATTTGACCAAATATGGACGTCTGGAGAATTTCCTCCTTCGTGGCGTAATGCCATTGTAGTCCCAATACCAAAACCTGGCAGGGGTCATACAGATCCGTCGTATTACAGATCAATATCTCTAACTAGCTGTATCTGTAAAACCATTGAACATATGGTGAATAATAGATTAACTTGGTATCTTGAAACCAATGACCTTATAACAAATATTCAATGTGGTTTCAGGAAAAATCGTAGTACCATTGATCATTTGGTACGTTTAGAATCCTTTGTTAAAAATGCAATTGTAACTGAACAACATGCTGTATCAATTTTCTTTGATCTTCAGAAAGATTATGATACGACCTGGAAGCATGGCATTTTTAAGGACTTACATGATTTTGGTTTGAGAGGCCGTTTGCCTCTTTTTATATCACAGTATTTAAAGTTTATATGTACCTTTGACATTGTTATCGTACTTATCAACTGGGATAATATTTTGACAATGCACAGTTCTTTATGTGGCTAGTATATTGCCAAACTATATTCTAACGAATCTAACCCTGCATTTAACTGTGTCTTCAGTCCTCTTTATGAGGATTTGTACAGAAAAAGTCTTCTCTTGTTCCGCCTCTTGGACACAGAATTAAACCATTCATTGCTGCTGCCGGAATTGAGCTGGAGAATATATCTCCTTCTCGTCTTCTTTCATCTCCTCCTTGGCAAGTGGTGAGGCCAGACGTTGACTTAACATTAACCACATTAAAAAATCCGAAACTAATGATTTACAGTATAAACAAGAATTTAGTCAATTAAGAAATAAATAAAATACATATAAATCCTTATTTACAGATGGATCGAAGGATGCTGGCGCGGTGGCTTGTGCCACTGTCCTTGGATCCAGAACAATATCTTCTCGACTACCAAGTAATAGCTCTATTTCCAGAACACACGCTAACGCCATATTAACAGCTCTTAAATATATAAATAAACACCGTAAATATATACAATATATCATTCTCTTTCGTGTCTTCAGGCTATTAAAAATCTTTCTTGTAAACATCCACTTTTTTTAGAAATGATTGAATTGTATAATGAGCTTGCTACTGGCCAATGCGACATCGTCTTTTGTTGGTTACCCAGCCACGTTGGCATTTCTGGGAATACACTGGCTGATCTTGCTGCTAAGGCAGCACTCAACAAATCTGTGACACCACTTCTTATTCCATACTCTGATTACAAAGCTAGCATTAGAACTTATATCCGAGATCTGATGCAGAAGAAGTGGGACACCCAAGTAGGTATTAATAAATTACATGAAATAAAACCCTATATTGTTACACCTACTTGGGTTGTCAGTCCAGATTTGAAGAGGTCATCATGCGACGATGTCGCATTGGCCATTCACGGTACACTCACACATATTTGTTAAAAGGTGAAGATCCTCCGTTTTGTATCCCTTGTGATGAGAGAGTCACAGTCAAGCATCTCCTGCTTGACTGTGTTGAATTCTCCACCATAAGGGATAAATATTTCAATGTTAAAACTGTTAAGGATCTTTTTAATACTGTTCATCTTCATTTAATTCCTGCTTGATTTAATTAATGAATTTTGATAAATATGACTGTAGATAGATGTGTTTTTATGATTGGTAGTTTTGTTTGTAACTTAGATTGTTAGTGGCTGTACTCTCAAGAGGGGTTAAAGTATCGTAAAATTATTGTCCTCCTGAGAGGGTACGTAAGTCCCAAAACTTTGAAAGTCAATTTAAACTTACCAGGATTTTTAAACGTAGTATTCTTGTTATTTTAATTTTGGCTAATATTTCTTATAATCGCCAATGGCTGAGGGGATGATGTAAATCCAACTAGGGTCCATGCAGGTAGCAAAGGTACTGTGAGTCCCCATGGTCCCTGCTATGGTGATCTACCCTCAGTTGTTGGCGATCTATAGCCTATTTTTATATTGTGTTGTCCTCTATAGTAAAAATGTTTTACATTTAATTGCTAGTTTTACATTTATATCTGTGATGTTCTAGTTGTTTTACTGTCCTTTGTTGACAGGATTTTATAATCTATCTTAATTGTTGTTATTCTATAACTTGTTTTAGTCACGATATGGCTGAAATATTGCCAAAGTGACTTTAAATTGTAACTCACTCACTCAATCACTCCTACAATCGCTAGCGGGTGAAGGGATGGTGTAAATCCGACTAGGATCCATGCAGGTAACAAAGTCACTATACGTCCCCATGATCCCTGGTATGGTGATCAACCTTCAGTTGTTAGCGATCTACATCCTGGTTTTATATTGTATTGTCTTGCATTATAAAGTGTACGTTATAGTTACATGTTAGTTTTATGTCTCTGCCTGTGGTACACTAGTAGTTTTACTGTTCATCGTAAACAGTTTTATAGCTTCTAATATTATTGATCTTTACTGATTATTAATTGTTCCCGTCACGATATGACTCATTCACTTTGAGTTGCCGTCACAAGTCTCACCATAAATAATAGAGCAGTAATAAAGTTCAGAACGGATCTATGCTGGCAATGGGTTTTGAATTTGAAACTATATATAAATCAATACCTTTATTCATGATTTATTCTTTTAAATACTTTTAAGAGATCAAACTTTGATAGAGAATAAGAGCCAGGAACTTCACAACATTCTGCGTCCGAGTGCAAAAATTGAATTAGTTTTCATAGCACCATTTACGAATTACACTGAGACATAATTGCAGTTGGCTTTTATTACTATGCATTTTTGTACCACGGCAACTGTTTATCTTTACACAAAATAATGTGACAGACACAATATTGCCTTGTGGACGGACATCCTAATATCGATTCTACTGATCAGACACGATGGAACCCATGCCTCTTGTGGTTGGGTGTCAATTAAGAAATTGCATATATTCAATGAGGCATACGATCATGCAATCCAGTCATGTAAATCTTTTAAAATGTCATGTTTCTACAATGTGCCATATGCCTTTCAAGTTTGTCCGTTTGTTTTGATGTTGTATAACGCCGCACTCAGCAATGTTCCACCTATATGATAAAGGTATACAGAAAATCGAGTAAGGACCAGGCAATCTAGTGTCTGAGATCATGAGCATTGATCTACGCAATTTTGATACGATGCATATGATATGCATCACAGTCAGCGACCCTCACCATCCGGTATTGATTGTGTCTCATACGACAAGTGTGGGCTGAAGGCCAATTTTAAACGGGCTCTTCACGGGCATCTCACAATGAAAAGTACACCTTTTCTTGGTCTGAACGTTTTCATTTTACTATTTAGGCTAGGTGATGAAAGCACTTGTTCTATGTTGTTACAGGCAGTCTAAGGAGGAGGCAAGCAGGGCTTGTAATTGGTAAATGCAGCGACAAAGATGGTTTCACTGGAGAGATAGACGATGTAAGTTTTGCGTTCATTTTATGTTCAGATGAAATTATTTACAACTGTCTTATGTTGACAAACTCAGTCGCCAGGTCAACGCACGCCCAACTGAAAATCTTTTGTCACGTGTTGACAGTCCTTGGCGACAAGTGTCTCCTCAAAAACCAGTGACGGTTTGACATTGGCTGCTTGTTCCCCACATTTGCTTTTTAATGTGACCGTTTTCATGTTCTGAGATTTTGAGGGGAAATAGTTTGGGGAATGAAAACTGTCTAGAGGTGGTAGCACGTTGTTGAAGCCTCTGTATTTGACTTGTATTCACGTTTGTTTCTGGTATCTAGAAAGGGCTCCATCCAAATATATATTCTCCCAAAATGAGTGAGTCAGTTTAGTTTTACGCCGCTTTTAGCAATATTCAAGCAATATCACGGCGGGGGACACCATAAATGGCCTTCACACATTGTACCAATGTGGGGACTCGAATCTGGATCTTCGGTCTGACGAGCGAACGCTTTAACCACTAGGCAAACCCACCGCCCCTATTCTCCCCAAAAGTACGGGATTATGAAATGTAATTGTATTGATGGGTCATCAGAGCTCTCCACGAATGACTTCTGAAACCGTTCTACTTCCTCAACCCACCAGAAACATTCGCTTCCTCTGCGGACGGATGATAGGGTCAAACATGGTTTTGACTAAAGCGATGTGCAGTCATATATATTACTGTCAGCCACTTACTTTCTGTATCACCAGCAACAGGTAAGTTCATACACAGTGAAAGTCTGTCGTCCACAACGCCTAGAACGTCGAAGGGACTTTGGCGAGAGAAAGCCAATATGTTCAAATACACTGTGCCTTTTAGAAAGTTGTCAAGTGCAAAATATGTTATAAATTGAACTACTTTAGAAACGATAAATGATCATGGGATATGCAAAACGTATTGTGAAACCAAACAATGCTTGAAGTAATCTGATTATGACACATAAACGTGTGATCAAGTGACCAAATATTTGCTTAAACCCCCCTTTTCACCTACAATGCACGTGAAAATGCAGAACACATTGACGGATCATTTAACTGTGTACCAAAATCACACCGAAATTTGGAACAGTACTTTGGTCAGTAGCGGGCATAGTCCCCCATCACCGGGCTGGTATAAATATCTCACTCACCGACCCGAAAGTTTCCACTCTTTGCCCCTGGGCGGCACGGACAATTCGCAAGTCGCGGATTTCATTTTAACGGCAACGGATGGTTTCTTACCGATTAATCTAGTAACTTCGTTATTTAACGATGACACAACTCCGGGTAAACGTGACATCCATACTGTCGATCGTGTATTGGGCGTTACCATCTCCTTTCCATTCTGAAACTCGAACAACCGTTGGCTAATGTTTGATTAAATCCCTCGACAATAGCTTGGCAACGATGAGCTCCCGCTATTCCGCGCCTGACATTTACCTTGTGCTTTGCAAGCAGGTGCTACACAGAGCCCATGAACGTGCGTCCCGAGTTGACTTGAAAATCTTCAAGCCACTTCAAAGGACTCTGTTTGTATGTACGCTCCAGTGCATTGACCACCTAAGTGGAAGGTTTCGTGCCTCTTTAAAGCATGTTTATACGTTTTGCGTCTTACCTTGTGTTAGAGAAACAAGAGGTCGACCTGATGTAATTGATTGGTTATTGACATATCAAACTTTCTCCTCGGGATATATTGTGGAGCCGGTAAATATATACTCAGCAGGAATATTCCATCACAAGGGATAACTATTTCAAATCACGAACCAAGAAGGATCTTTTTACTAATATAAGTTCTCATTTAATTAATGCATTTTTAAAAGAATTAGACTTGTTAACTGATTTGTAAATAGATACATGTTTTATTATTGGTAGTTTAGATTAGTAACTGAGATTGTAAGTGGCTGTACCCTCAAAGGGGGTTGAAGGAGCGTAAAATTATTGTCCTCCTGAGAGGGTACATAAGTCCCGAAACATTCAAAGGAAATTTAATTTACCAGCTGTTTTATATGTAGTATTTTTGTCATTTTAATTTTGGCTTAATTTGACTTCAATCGCCAGCGGCTGAAGGGATGATATAAATCCAACCAGGGTCCATGCAGGTAGCAAAAGTACTTTAAGTCCCCATGGTCCCTAGTTTGGTGATCTACTTTCGGTTGTTGGCGATCTATAGCCAGTTTTTATATTGTATTGTCCAAATAGTGCTATTAGTTTTAATTTTCCACACTAGTTTTAGTTGTAATTGTGATATTCTAGTTGTTTTACTGTCCTTTGTCGACAGGTTTTTATAGTATACATCTATTCCATTTCGGTGTCACATGTTTTCTCGTCACGATATGGCTGAAATATTGCCGATGTGACGTTAAATAATAACTCACTCACTCACTATACTCAGCAGCAAAAAACAACAACGTCAGTACGAATTCAAAATTAGATAGGCACTGTAATCAATTCATTACAGAATGGACATAATAAGCGGATCAAAAACATTTTTTGTGTACAATATCATGACACATCAATGAATAACTCAACGCAATTCCAAGACATTACGTGAACGTTTGAAGTCCATTCAGACTCTTGACTTCAGTATCTAGTGTGACCACCACGAGCGGCAATAACTGCAGCACAGCGTCTATGCATGGAGTGCACCAATCGATTGATGCAGGACATTGGCACCTTGAGCCACACTCTGAGAAAGGCCTGGCGCAATAAATCGGCTGTGTTCGGCCTTGGTATGACATTATTCAGTCTCCTCTGAATTTCATCGCAAAGATGTTCAATTGGGTTTAAATCAGGACTAAGGGCTGGCCACTGCATAATGTTGACACCGTTCTGCTGTAAGAAGTCCCGCGTAGCTCTGGCAGTATGGGCCCGGGCGTTATCATGCGGGAACATGTTGTTCTAGTGACGTGCGAAATGTGGTATGACGTGGGGTCTGAGAGCTTGGTCGACGTAGTGCACTGCTGTGATGCCGCCTCCTCTCCCTGGACCAAGGTTCTGGAACACCACAGGACCCACTCACTGGTTCAGGCCTATTTCACCCCATACCATGATGCTTGCACCTCCCCATGAGTCTCTTTCCATAACACATTGGTCTGAATAACGCTGGCCACGTCGTCGCCATATTCTTGTACTGCCATCTGCAGTTGATACGCAGTACCGACTCTCATTTGTGAAGAGAACAGTTGTCCATTGCCTGTATCGCCTGTTTTGGTGTTGTAGGGCAAACTGTAGACGTTCACGCTGATGACGAGGGGTGAGGATAGGTCCACGGTAAGGTCTACGGCAATGGAGGTTCCCGCTGTTAAGACGTCGGCGTACTGTATCAGTACTGATTGGTCTTCCGTGTGTTCCCACTGTCTGGCGTGCTGTTTCGGATGCCTGCATGAAGGGATTCTGTACATGCTGTCGCACAACATGGTGGTCTTGTCGTCTTGTGGTCACCATTGGTCTGCCTGTACGTGGGCGATCATTTGTTGTTTTGGTGGGCCGGAAACGTTGCTGCAGCCTGTAGATGGTCCAAACGTTGACCTGGAAGTGATTGGCAACGGCTTGTGCAGTGTGGCCAGCTTTTAGTCTTCCTAGCGCCTGGTTCGTCTGAGCTGTCGTGAGAAGGGGCATCCTGCTGACGTTGTAATGTGAATGTTTCAACCAGGTTAGGGGGTGCATTTTATAGGGCTGGTCCTTGTGAACAGCACGTGCAGCATGAGTTGCATGAAAAACATGGAGAACACCGTACCATCTCCGAGATCAGGTTGCGTTTTTGAGACAATTTCCTGCGTTCCATTCTGAGTTTTGGAAGGAATGTCTTTGCTCAGGTAAAGTTGGAGATGTTGTGAAAACATTAAATGAGTTTACAGTTATCTGTTTCTGCAAAGGAAAATTCCAAACTGACGTTTCTTCTGCTGCTTAGTACATTTGCCATAGGGCTTGGTCTTCCGTGTGTTCCCAAAGTCTGGCGTGCTGTTTCGGATGCCAGACAGTTCTAGCAACATCTTCGGATACCTTATCTACAGTGGCTAGTTTTTGTATCGCTTCTGTTCCTTTCCAATATCCACTTGGGCTGTAGTAAATCGTATCCAATATTAATGAATAATAATATCTAACTTCAATACATTCTCTTTGGAAATAGACCAGAACATTAAACAATGAGGGGGATTGCCACCGGAACCCCAACCCCACTACTCAAAAAGGTTGAGACTGTTCTTGAAAGAAGTCTCCAGCAGACGTTTTCAATTGTTGTATAGATCGTCAAGAGAATTACTACCACTCCTTCTTCAAGTAGGTCCCAAGTACACGGCACATCAACTCTTCCAACGCTGTCTCAGATTATTGCATGCCCATTGCAGATCTTGCATACATTTGTATACCTCTAAAAGGGGTTGCCACACCACAACACTTCATCAAGTCACGAACTATGGGTATCCGGTAGAAGGCATTGGTGAGATCCCAGGAAATGAGGAATTGCCACTCAGCAATCTGTCGTAGAATGGAATCAACATCTGGGAGAAGTGATGATTGAGGTTATGAATATCGACTGTCATTTGCAAAGGCTGTGACTATGTGAGGTTTCTTCACAAGAAAGGATGGGTTAAGGTACTCAGCAATCATCTTCGGGTCGGACAAACACTCCTTTGGCTTGAAGATCGTTGAACTTGGATTGCAAATCCTCACGTTTATCTCTGGCATACTGGGCTACTCTACCTTTTCTTTGTGGAGGCCACACAGGGCCCATGTTGACTGCAGCATATACAGGACCAGAAGTTCCATTATAACCTTTGAAGTTGGGATCGAAGACATCATCATACTCGTCAAGTAAGGTTCTAAAGTTCGTATCTGGAGGCAGGGTAAGATCTGGATCCAAATTAACAGCTTGAGAGAAACTACTTTGCTGCTTCTTCTGGAGCAACACTTTCTGGCTCAAGGGCGAGATGGTCATCATGTGTCGTGAACTCTTGAGGAACTTCCAGCTCGACGTAGTCACCCGGCCAAACATAGGT